CTCTTTGTCTTTTATAAGAAGACACACTCTTTTATAAGAATATATCAGAGAAGTTGTTAGTTACTGACTAACATGCAGAAATGTAAGCAGTCCAGTTCAGAATATTTTTTTCTCCATCTTCTCAATTTCCACTGTTTTCTGATGTCCTAGTTCTGCTAATTTGCCACTCTTAGAAGTTAGGTAACATACAAAGACCTGATATTTAAATGTGAGGAACAAATTAAAAATCATCTGGAGGAGAAAAAGGCTCTGTGGCCTTTGCTGCTTTACTATAATATATAAAGACTTTAAAATGGGAAAGGGTAGGGTTGGGATGTTTTCTGTGAGGTCTTGTTGAAAGCTGCCTGAAGGACATTAACAGTCAAATTTCGCTGAATTCCAGTGAAGTTTAGTTACCCCCTTCTCATGGATTTTTTTTTTTTTTCTTTTTTTTGGCAAAGTCTATGTGCTTAATGTAAAGATGGCAATGTGTATTTTTATTATGTTTTTGATAACTCCCAGAAATTTAAGAACTGTCAGTCAGTCATGCCATATGACTTGATGCATGTTGAGGTCATCTTCAGTTCATTTTAACATAGAAAAAATATTTGGTGTTGAACAAACTAGTTCAACACCGTCTTCCTTGGCTTCTACATTTATTTACCAAGGCCTCCGGGCCCATTCTACCAAGACTGGTCAAATTGTGGTGCTTAATAAAGGTGATGCTATATGGTGAACCTATTGACTGTTTACATCGGAAATGATTCTGTTCAGTTAGTGCATAGAATAAGAGTTCTTCTGGAAACCCAACCTTTTCTGTGGCACTGCAGGAAGCAAAGCATATAGTCACTGTACAGATTTTCAGAGCACTGCAAAGAACACCAAAAAATAAATCCTCTGAAAAGAGGAGGAAGGGAAAGGAAAATCCTGTTGGTAGGAGTGGAAAAGAAGGTTAGAGAAGTTTTAGGATAGAATAACGTAATATTGTGATCACTTTGTGTCAGATGTTCCCTTCATATTGCCTGCCAGTTGTAGGTAGAGAGCTTTTTAAAAAAAGAATGCTGGAAGACCACTAGTAAAAAGGAACAGCTGGATTTTCTTCTTAGTGCGTTTCCGCCATCTTTCCGATAGGAAGTAAGTAGTGGCATTAAACTAGTTTAATCCCTCTATGACACAGTAAGCTATGTCCCTGGGGCTGAAAGTAGACTTTGAAAATATCTACATATATTGGTAGATACAAGGCAAACTACTGTACTGTCGGCTAGGTAGATAGACAAGAATTATTCTCTTTTTTTTTCTTTTTGTTTTGTTTTCTAATTATGAGTAGCTTTAAGATTATAAACTTTTAAATTATAAACACTGTTTAGGGCTTAAGACTAAAAATCTCAAGAGGACTAGCTATAAATGGATTCATTTCTTGCCTTAAATCTTCCCAAAATTTGAATTTACTTAAAACTATTCTGTGTCATCCATGTTTGATAGAGCTAAAATTCTTTAAACTATATCCTGTATGGGAAACATTAATAGGATCCTGACTTGTTTAAGGAATTAACAGTTTTGATTGGATTACTGGAAGCTTTTTTGACTTAAGGTGTTCACTTTTTACCCTGGAGATAGCTGTGCAACAGTGTGTGTGCTTGACATGTGATGCATGCAAATGCTAAATACAGTAGCAGCATGAGGCAAGTGTCATTAACAGTAATTTATGTAATGAAAGCCACCTGGCTGTCTTCGTAATTAATTGCTTGTAAATAATAAATTTAAATATAATTTATAGTTTTCTAAATTTGATTATATATTTTTAGGAGCAAATTGTTTAAGGGTGTTTGGGGATTTACTTAGTTTCAAATTGGCACAGATACGCTTTTTACATACAGGCTAATTTTTTAACATAAAATGAACAGTCTAATTAGCTTCAAATTGCCATTCACTCATAAAAATAGTTTTCTAAAATTAAATTTAAACATCTAGTTTATACAGGGCAATATAGGTTTGAAGAAAAAAAGTATGAAGTAGAACGATTTTCCCCTTTCTCCACAATCAGGAAATTTAAGATTGGAGTCTGAAAAACTTCTCTTGACAAGGTATTCTATAATCCAGTTCTTTTCCTGGAGGGAAGGGGAAGTAGCACGATAGAGTTATCCAAACAAAATGAGAAAGATGAACACAAAATGAATATATCAAATATTTCCTTCCAGTAATAGCTTCTAAGTGAATGTTTTTTCAATGTGTGGACATTGGCCCTATCAAGAGGGCAGATAGGAAAGGTGAGGGATAAATCCCTGGTTTAAATTGTAGCTTCTTTGCCTTAACTGCTTGTTGAAGTCCATTGCTATTGCAGCCTAGGAGAATCTTTCTTTGCACAACTGTCATCAGATAACTACAACTTTTGTGTATTTTTGTCTAATAGTTCAACATTTAGATTGTGGTACTAAGAGAAAGAGTTCAAACTTGCAAACATGTTTTCTGGATAATCTTAACTGAAGTAAATTGAAATAAAGTGTGAATGATGTACAGTTAAGTGCAAACAAGGTATTTGCAGAGATTTTACTTTTTTCTCCTCAGTCTCTGGTATGCTGCTCTGTGCCTCTGCTTTAGGATGTGTTCACTGATTCTTTCCTGGATATTCGGAAACTTTTCTTCTTGCTAGGTAACTTGGAGTAGTTGAGGACAAGGACATAGCAAATCATCTGCTTATGTTAGTCTCAAGCTTTGCTTTTTTAATTTAATTTTCTGAGAAATTTTATTGGTAGAGTTAAAGAGAGAATTTTAGAGAATACCAGGAGATGGAGATGTGGAGGACAAGTACTATGATTATCAAGGTGTATGTGGGAGGCAAACCCTATTTGACTCCTATCAGTTTCTTTTCATCAATGGACTCCCTGACTAGATGATCAAAGGGTACCAGAGAAGTTCTGGCATGCGTGAGGTGAAAAGATTCGATAGTCATTGAAGCCTGATGTGAGAAAATTTGAGAGTTTTAATTTCATGTTTTGGCACTAATATTGTATTTTTTAAACCTGTGTTGTGAATATATTTTTGTTCTGTATTGCATCTGAAAATATTTTTCAGCTTGAAAATTGAACCTTACAAAATAGTTTTACATTTTTCTGGAAGAGACTTTAGTTGAAACATAAGTGAAAGTCTCTGTGTGGGTTTGTCATTTAAGTAGGTCTCAAACATTCATGCAACAAGCACTGTGCTGTTTGACTCTGGAAAGAAAAAATACCAGAACAATATCTTAGGCAAATTACTATCTATTTTCTGTACTTGTTTACTAACATAATAAGACCAAAAAGTAGTTTCTTTTCATTTGGAAATACCACTCTTCTGTTCCTGTGTTTTCAGAGTTCCATTTTTAACCATAATATCTGCCAATGTTTATCCACTGTTAAAGCATAACATTGTTCTTCTCATCATAAGCATATATATGTGAATGGAAAAATTGCGTCTTTATTCTGACTTCTCTTTTCATTTTGGGGGCTTCATCAGAAATACTTTGTAATCATTTGAATAAGGCATATTTTGAGCTACACTTGTATTACTGCTATTGAAAGTTAGATTTTTGTGGTGTCGGTGAAAGAAGGTGAAAGTTATCTCTGCGAAGAGCTAGCATTATTTTGTGATCGTTGCCTGTATTGATAATTTGTATTTACCTCTGCATTTTATTTTTTTTTCATGTCTGATACAGATTGTTGATAGTCTGCAGTTGTTTTAAAATATATTGGCCGTTACAACAGACACCAAAAAATGAGGTGTCTACAGGAAGAATTGGTGCCCTGTTCTTAAAGGAACTTCTAAGTCTTTCTAAATGAAAAATCATTCAAACAGTATCTAATACTGGCAATTTTCCTCTGTCTGCTGGTAGAACTTATTGGCCAACCAGGTCAGACATTATTAAAGTTCAAGTGGCCCAGTGGGAAAAGTAATGGCCTTATGCTACTATGAATTTTAAATGCTGCCATTTCTATGTATTGCACCATCATCTGTTCTCGCACATCACTAAATTGTATGGAAGTTGTGGGACCAACCAGTGTCAAGGTCATAGAAGCGATGACTCTTCTCAAGTAGCCTTCTCGGAGCTTTGTCATACAGTTATTCTCATAATCCTGGCTATAGGCAGCAAAGTTGTGTGCACAAGCCTGCATTTAACCTTTTTATTATCATTGGATAGTGTAAGCCTGCAATGCAGGATGCCTTTTTCTTCGGACTCTTTACTTCTGGTTTTTATTTTTGATCCTACCAAAGGTATGAAATCGACTTTGATGCAAAGACAAGTTTTAGTAAGTGATTCGTATTTAAACCTTTTGAGTTGAGCTGTTGTACAGTTTAGTGAACTGGATATTGGAGAATTTCAAAATTGTTTAGTGCTATAGTTCTCCAGATGAGCTTGAATTTTATCTTGATTTTAAATGTGGTAGTACTAAGTCTGAAATGAGCATATCAGCAGGTACTTCTTGTCATGTGTATATATATATTTATTGGATTTTTATAGCATTAATATATTGGTAATGGGAGTATTTCCCCAACAGCACTGTATTGACTTTGTAGTTTCCAAAGTAGTAGCTACTGATAACATTTCATTGTATGGAAGGCTTCTTATGCAGAGATAATAAAACTGGGTTTGTATCCCAGACTTGAACTGGTGTAGCTGGAAAGCTGTAACATTGGAAGATAGCCACTTTACAGAAGTTACCGTGTTGTAACTAAAGACTTAGGTGCTTTTATGTCACTTAGATACTCCCAATTCAAACTCATACATTGATTTAAACACATATATTCTTACACACATACACACACACAGAGACATATATATTGATTTAGCTTAAATTGGTAATTCACTGACTTCCGATAAATCAATGTTAGATTTGTGAATGATAAAGTACAAATGTGTACAGAGACAGTAGTCTGCTTTTTGAGAATTTTCATTCAGAGAAGTGATCACAAGCATATTAAAACTTTAGCAGAGATTTTAATATTAAAGCTGCAGTGAAGAGAGGTTAAAGCCATAACAATTCTAGAGGTCAGTGAGTCTCCCTCCCTCATTCCGTGTTCTTCAGTGCTTGGATGCATATAAGCCTAGCGGTTCTCAAGCTTTGGTAGGCCTTTGTTATTCCTGAGCCTTCCTGGATCCTCATGTGGAACCATTCAGATTGCTAAAAAGCCTTTTTGCCGTCTTGGGAATCCTGACATGGAGAAGAAATTCCGAGAATCCGCTAGTTGCCACCTCCTCTCAGGTGGGAAGTTCACCATCAGACTGGCTTTAGTCGATTTGCAGGTGTAACTGTGGTGCTTGTTAGCCTACATCCTGCAGTTCTGGGAAGCCAGGGAGGTTTTACGTGTCCGTGCATGTGTTATGCGTTTGAACCCATGCTGCTAGATCTATTTGAAATCCATTATTGACAGAGTGTTTAGAAATAAGAGCGGACTGGTTAGCATGTGGTAAGCAGTATAGAAACACTGCTTTCTTTAGGACTCGCTGTTCCAAAGTGTTTGCAGTACAGACGGTGAGAATTAAAAGGCTGTTTGGGTTTCTTTCATATCTTTGATAATGTAGTAGGAAAAATGTATTTTAGGCACACATTCTGGAATTTCAGGATAGCTGTGAGGAGGATTCCTCTTCCACCCCTAGTCATTTAAATTCACCAAGTGTATGTATTTCTCTCCTCACGTAGATTCTTAATCCAGCATGGCAGCACCATGCAATTCTAGCCTGAAGTTGTATGTATTACTTTTCTTTTAAAGCTCAATATTGCATATTGAGTAAAAATATTTAAAAACTTATTGTACATGTAAAGGGAAAGTTCTTTTCCAATTATTAGAAATGAGAGACTCTTGCTGTCTGCTTCAGAACATTTCATGAAGGGATATGACTAGCACTACATACTCATGCTGGAGACTGTGGAAGGAAAGAAACAATTACCTGAATTCCTACAATAGCCAAGTGCAGTGTTGTGTGCACTTCCAAGAGAAGGTTTGACAATGCTGCTTTGGGATTTCACACGTAACAGCTTCTGAATTTTGGAAACGCAGCTCCTATCCTCACACTCAGTTTTTTAACCAATATATTTATCGTCTTAGCAAGGTGGAATGTTACATTTTGTGAAAGGGAAGCAATGAAGCAATGTTCTTTGTAGACTTCATTTGTTTAAAAAAAAGTCAAGACTATGCTGTATATATAATATATATTTGTCTTATGATGGACTTTGCTTTCCCCCTGCTTGTCTCCACTTGTGCGAATAGTTACTGGATTAAATACTGCAGTTCATATTTACTGTTGATTTTTTTTTTTTTTTGGTACAGATCTCTCTAGATACTCTTCCTTTGTTCCATGGTAAAATACGTGAAATGTAAAGCTATTTCAGGCAAAAAGTGGAGTTAAAGATGAGGGAAAGGAAACTCATTTTAAAATGAATAGATGAAACAAGTGGAAATTTGGTTTTGTACCTAAAATTTTATGTTTTCAGTAATCTCAGAAAATAGAGTAGAAAAATGTAAGTTTTATCTTATCCCTAAAGAATTAATTATTTGCAAAGGCTGATAATATAATATTTGCAGAAGTTGTCATGTTTGGATTTTCTCCTGGTGAGGCTGTAGTAAATAGCAAATATTAAGTTGGACGGCACCCCAAATCTTGGCTAGATCTGCAAGCCTGCTTTGTTGAGAAGATGATCTGATCCAATTAAATTCTTTTCGTCCTTACTAGCTGCTTCTTGGCCAGAGTTTTATATCAACTCTAGTTATGAAGCACTGATCTGCATCAGCATATTATCTGTTACTAGTTCATATACGAATACTAATTGCAAAACAAAACATTTCTGAAATACTCTCCAGGGATGATAGCATTGCTCCTCTACCAAATTCTGGGATTCATGAGAAGAGAATGGTCTAAATTTTATTCTTACATATTAAATGACCGAAAGGCATATTCTTTTTCCAGCACCAGGCTTGCAGTTGTCTTTTTAGCTTGACTGATCTCTAGGCTCTTAGAGATAATTTCTCTTATCTCTTGTTCTGGTCTGACTTGGGCATCCCATATCTAAATGTGGTATCTGTAATACTTTTTTTTATTATAAGAAAATTTGTATATCTTTATATCATTTGGAACCTAGAAATGATATTTCATTTTTTAAAAACAAAAGTTACTTTTTTTTAAAAAACGGGCATTTTGTGGCAGATTTTAGATTTCACAGTTTTCTGCCTAAATCCAGTTATGTATTGACAAGAACACAAAATGCATCAAGCATTCAGATGGTGATTACATCAGTGGACATGGGAAGAGCTACAGATGTCGTCTATCTGGACCTCTGTAAGGCCTTTGACACGGTCCCCCACAACATCCTTCTTAAACTGGAGAGATATGGATTTGATGGGTGGACTGTCCAATGGATGAGGAACTGGTTGGATGGTGGCATCCAGAGGGTAGTGGTCAACAGCTCAATGTCCAGATGGAGATCAGTGACAAGTGGTGTCCCGCAGGGGTCCGTATTGGGATCAGTACTGTTTAATATCTTCATCAATGACATAGTGGGATCGAGTGCACCTTCAGCAAGTTTGCAGACGACACCAAGCTTGAGTGGTGCGGTCGACACGCCTGAGGGACGGAATGCCGGAGGGACCTGGACAAGCTCAGGAAGTGGGCCCGTGTGAACCTCATGAGGTTCAACAAGGCCAAGGGCAAGGTCCTGCACCTGGGTTGGGGCAACCCCCGGTATCAATACAGGCTGGGGGATGAAGGGACTGAGAGCAGCCCTGCAGAGAAGGACTTGGGGATACTGGTGGATGAATAGCTGGACATGAGCTGGCAATGTGTGCTTGCAGAAGCCAATCATATCCCGGGCTGCATCAAAAGAAGCGTGGCCAGCAGGTCGAGGGAGGTGATTCTCCCCCTCTGCTCTGGTGAGACCCCACCTGGAGTACTGCGTCCAGCTCTGGAATCCTCAGCACAAGAAAGACATGGACCTGTTGGAACGGGTCCAGAGGAGGGCCATGAAAATGATCAGAGGGGTGGAACACCTCTCCTATGAAGAAAGGCTGAGAGAGTTGGGGTTATTCAGCCTGGAGAAGAGAAGGCTTTGGGGAGACCTTATTGCAGCCTTTCAGTATTTAAAGGGGGCTTAGAAGAAAGATGGGGACAGACTTTTTAGCAGGGCCTGTTGCGACAGGACAAGGAGTAATGGTTTTAAACCAAAAGAGGGTGGATTCAGACTAGATAGAATGATGAGATTTTTTACAGTGAGAGTGGTGAAACACTGGAACAGGTTGCCCAGAGAGGTGGTAGATGCCCCATCCCTGGAAACATTCAAGGTCAGGTTGGACGGGGCTCTGAGCAACCTGATCTAGTTGAAGATGTCCCTGCTCATTGCAGGGGGGTTGGACTAGATGACCTTCCAAGGTCCCTTCCAATCCAAACTGTTGTATGATTCTGTGATTCTATGGAAGTGTGCCACTGATATCAACACAGAGTAACAAAAGGTAAATTGGTTCATTATGGATGCTGATGAACAAGAAGAAGAGGATATTTGAAGAGCAAGGCAGGTTGCTTTGAACAGAGCTCTGGGAGTTAGATCCATTACCATCTGGAATTGCAGAAGAAGGTGTTTCCATGAAAGTGGCTGCTACAGAACTTAAGAGGAAAGTTTGCTTGTTTTCCTGGAAAATAGATTTAGTTCTACAAGATGGATAACAAGTTAATTTATTAATTATTTAAACTGGGTAGTACTCAGAATTATGAGTTTGGGGTTTTTTGTTTGTTTGTTTCAGAAAATCAGCAGATCTGTACCTTGGCTCTACAGTTGGTTCTCGACAAAAGAGCTTGCTTGACACAAACATGTCTATATCCCTAGCCTTCCAGTAAGCCATGAGGCTTACTATAAAGTTTATTCCTTAAGAGGCAATAATGCAGCACTGAAATGTTATTTTGAATAAAATACATTTTCAGTGTTATGTTTGTTTTCCTGGATATCTCAGCTATATTAATTTGTCTGCTCACTTGCTGTTTTGAAATCCTGTATAGAAGCATCAGAGGACGGATGGAGCCCTAGCAATTTGGCTGCTCCTGTAGAAGTAATGATGACTTAGATGGCAGTATCCCTGCTGTCAGTATCAGCAGTTGTGATCATGCTGTCTTGCAATGCAAATGCATGTTCATGACTTCTGTCCCCTCTCCAAGTACACAGTACTGTCTTTTTCAGCACTTTCCGAAACGATGGTGTTTCAGTTTTCTGTCAATGGCATCTTGCAGTAGGTGTTCCAGCCGTGTTTTGAGGAGCTATTTCATTTTGCCAGGAAGTTGTGGCAATGGAATTGTGGCAAGGAAACGCTGAGTGGTAGATAAGTGGGTTTAGTTTTTAAGAGGGGAACTACATGGAAGAAGCCATGTGAAGATATAAATCCACTTCTCCTGGGAGAAGGATCTTCTGGTAGTAAGGCTTGAAATTCTTTGAATGGTACTACTGAAATAATTCTCTTTGTCAGAGTTGTAATGTTTTTCTACTGCAATCCAGTATATATCCAACTTGTTCAGTTATTGGACTGAATTTTTCGGTGTTCGCGGTAAGTCCTTAATGATCTGAATAGTTGGAAGTGTCAGACTAAACTGAATTAGAAGGGCAAAATCCAAGGACACCAAGGGAACAAATAAAATGGACAAGAGTCAGGAGTGTGAAGAGAGGGATCATGGTCTTAATTCTTTTTGATATGTCAGTGGGTATAATAGCATAATGGTACAATAAGTACAGTAATCATACTGGGAATAGCCTAAAAATACAAAAGTTGGTATGTCAATAGGAGAGAACTCAAACCAGAAATCCAGTTAAATACTGTCCTGTTTTGTTTTGGTTTTTTACACATCTTTTCTCTAAATTCAGTTCTACCATTACGACCATGTAAATCTGCCAGATAATAATAGTTACGTGGAGAGCCATTAGGGGGCCATATGTATCCAACTTATTTATAGCCTGCAGCGTTTTTTTTAAATAAATCAACTTGAAATACCTTAGCTTTGTGTATGTTTATAGCCTGTGTAAGTATATAATCTTAATTTCTTTCCTTTGTTCACCTTGTAATGATTACATGTTGAAGGTTGCCGTAATTGGATGGTGCACCTTTTGGGGAGGCGTTGTGGTACATATCTCCTGGCCTCTGTGTCAAATGATGTATATTTAAGAATATTTAAATTCTTGACTACATTGTAACTCATTTTTCTGTTATCCATTAATTTCATAAATCTGTGTATTAGTCAGTTTACGTTGCTATAATTTTTCTACAGTTTTAACATTGAGTCAGTGGGTACTCAGGGTGAGCATTCTCCTGTGTAAAATACCGGAGATGAAGGCTCAGCTTACTGCAGTCACACAGATGTTGGGCAGACAAGCCCAAAATACAGTGTTATGGCAAAGATGCTGGAAGCACAAATCTGGATAAGACAAACTAATAAGCTCTTTATATAGCACTGTGTTAATCCACTTGCTTTGCGGCTAATGCTTCAACTGGTTGGCTTAGAGGTAACGTTTTATATTGTGCTACATAGACATACAGTTTAAACCTGAACAAACCATTTAGTCATTCTGTGCCTCAGTCTTCCATTTTGAAAGTGGCAGTAAGACTTCCTTATCTTAAATTAGTATTTCTGAGGTGTGAAAATGGCAAGGAGAAGGGCCATTTAAGTATGGAAGGAACATTTACATTTAATGTACGTATGATGTGATACAGGTGTTACATTCACATACAAGAAATCTGGCAGAGGAGCAAGACTTTAGACATTGCTGAATCGTTGAACTACCAAACTGTGCCTCAGTAGGTAGGTTCACAGAAGGAAAAATGTTAATTATCTATCATGCTTTGCTGTACCGTAAAACTCGATTTATTGAAACTATAATTTGTTCAAGTTGTATGTAGTAGGAAAATATATCAGGAGTAATTAATTGTATTAAGGATGCGATGAGGTAGATATATCCACAGAGGACAATTGAAAACAGTAGCAGTGTGGTATTGATTGCCTTTCAGAGGGAAAAAAAAAATCTTGTCCCATTTCTAAATGTTAACAATTCAGAGAGAAAAATTCCCACTTGGGAAGAATGCTTTCCAGGTTGCTTCATTGCCAGGTGTTTGACATTGAGTGGAGCCTTAGATGAATGAAGCTTATGGCAGCTTTTGGAAATGACCGACTCCGGGGAATCTCGGCTTCCTGCTGTGAAAGTTTCTATTTTCAAAGCACATCAGTTTCAGTGGGAATGTTCCAGTGGTCCCATATGCTATTTCTGACAGAGGGGGAAGTTTTTAACCTGAATACGAGACAGCTACTGAAGAGGTTCCCGTGCTGCTAACAGAATGAATTTCAATATGTTGGCAATGAACAAGCGGCATGTTCCCAACTGCTGATGGAATTTAACTCCATCAATTATTAATGGAAATTTTGCTTTGTTTTCCTTTTTGCCTGTTCCCTTTTAACTCAACTACCTGCTCCTGTTAGGATTTTTTGGGTTCTGAAGCTGAAAAAGGAATCACCCAAACAATATGCTCGTTTGCTTTGAAACTCTTGCTATATTTTCCTCCCCTCCCTTGTACGCTCTCTCCTTGACCTAGCAGCAGGAAGCCTTTGTCTGAGGTGTTCATCTGGAACAACTTCTCCACACTTGTTTTCATGTTCTGTTAGATTACAGGGCAGCAGGCCTACCTTTGAAGCTCCCTTCTCTTTTGTTTCTTTGCAGTGCACTCCAGTAATTAACTTTGTCCTTCTTTTATTTGTTCCAGTCAATCGCAGTCCACTCTGCTGAGCATCTTCTCCCAGGAGTACCAGGTTAGAAGTTTTCTCCTTTGTGAGGGTTGACAGGTGCCTAATTGAATGATGAATGTCCCTTTATTTCTTTGTAATTGAACTGCCAGCTTTCTGATTGGTTTGGAGGATGTTCCCTTTTCCACATCAAGCACCGCCTGAGTCTCAGTGGATGGCTGCCAAGCCTACCCATCCATCTGTCTAATAACATCTAGCCTTTGCTTATTTGGTGGACCTGTAATAAATTATGCTAAACCATTATTATTCTGACAATAATAATTTCCCTGTGTTGCGTGGTTCCATGTGCTAAATGTTTGCTGACTTGCACTGTCAGTGCTGCTTTCCATTGCTGACAGAGATGATGATAAATGACCATTGCCGGAGTGGCAGAAGGCAAGAGAGGCAGAAAATGGAGTCATTTATCATGAGATGACAGGTGTCAGTCAAGTGGCAAGTCTCTATGGAATTACTTTTTGTAGTTTTTCAAATAAGTTGTTTTTAAGCAATGTTCTTCCTGGTTAAAAATGCCAATTGAATTGTAAAACTAGAATGCACCAGACTTAGATGGAATTGAATTGAGGGAAAATTAATACAAAGGTTGAAAGAGAGAACAAGTTTTTCTTTGCCCTCTGCAGCCTTCAGTAAACTTATTTAGATTCAATTATTGTGACCTTATTGGCTTTTACATATATGGTACATTGCAGTACAGTCTGAAGATGTTCAATTCAATAGGTAGATTGAATGTCATTTCTGTATGGAATCTAAAACCATAGTTCAGTTTATATATCAAAGTGTAGTCAAGGAACATGTGTTTGGGCAGTCATTTCTGTGTTTTGATCTATGACACATTTGTAAGACTCTTTCTTTGGTTTTTCATTTTTCTAGAAACAAATCAAAAGAACACATGCCAAGCATCACACTGCTGAAGCTATTGAAACTTACTACCAAAGGTACGACCTCCCCACCCCGGTTAAGAGTATCATCATAACTATTAATTGTTTTGGCAATTATGAGTAAATTAGCTTATTAGCTTATGAAGCTAATTTTCTCTAAAAATAAATTAAAAATTTGGGATGAGGAATACAGAACAGTTCACTTAAAAATGTTTTTCAGTGAAAATGCAGAAATTTTTCAGCTTTTGGTCAGTCTAATTAAGAAAGGGTTTACTTCCTTGGCTCTAAGTCAGGACAAGCAAATATTTTTTACAGTGTATGTGATAGCATTTGTTATATATTGCCTGTAGTTTGTAATTACAGGATTTCTGTGTCAAGACTAATATTGATGATAAGTTCCTTACAGCAAGGGAGCTTGTTCTGTTACAGTTGCTTGTACTTTTAACACAACATTTGTGTTACATTACAAAAAGTTATATATTAAATTCCTGTATTGCCAGTTAAAGCACTAATTTTTAGATCACTCCTGTTTTATCAACAGAAGTGTCAGAAATAGCTGTTAAGGGAGGATGAAAATCTTTGTGTCATTTTACAATATTTTACAATTGTTCGCATCTTAAGCTAATAAATTGTATTTGCTACACCTTATAATTTGTTACTTCTATAGGCTTTACTAAAAATACTGCAATGACATAATTGGGGCATACTGATAACTGGTAAAGATACCCAATTAAAATATTACTTTGTAGACTGACATATCTGAGGAGTTTGCATGGCAAGTGAGTTCATACTTGTGATTATAGCTGTCTGATATTTATGCTTAATATTAATCTGTATGAATCAGGAAAATAAACAAAAAGCCTTCATTTGTAAACAATTAACTGTGCTTCTGCAGAGTCATATATTTAAAACCTAAGCACAACCTGATATCAGACACTGGTTTAGAATATCTAGTGTGAATTGTGCTGGTTTGGAGGTTTGATTTTCTTTTTTTAGTAGTTGTATTGTTCTGTAGAAATTTGTACTGGATCACATTGCACTTTTCCTAGTGTTGATTCTTGTTTAGGAAGAATATTGGCTTAAAATTTTGTTGTGTTGATAACCATGTGTATACAATACTACTTTTAATTACTTTTCACTAGCACAGTTTCAGTGAAGTGCCCTATGTTATTGTAACTGTTGTGTAAATAACCCTTTTCTTAGAACACATGTAAATCATTTAAATCACTTTTATGATGATTATGTTACTAGTTCCAACAACTTATAGCTGAAACATGGGACCCAATTTTGCTTTATGCAAAGCAGCAGTTGTATTGGTGTCAGTAAGGTTGTAGGTATGATTAAGTTTGGCTCACAGGTAAGAGGATTTGGTCTCCTGTCCCCTTCTGTATTGTCTGAAGTATGATAGCAGTACACAACTAATGCATTATGTATGAAGCTATATGGTGGTAGGGAAAATCATTTTTCATGCTGTTTCTGGGTGTTTCATATTGCAAATGTATTAACATGAGTGAATAAAATGCACATGTTTTAAAATCAGAGATGTTCTGGTTAATAGTTAGAAAACTCATCTCAATCCTGTTTTAGTAGATTTACTGTGTAGTATGTTTCGTAAGCTACAGGGGCAGACTACTTGAGTCAGAAGCCAGTTTGAAATGCTTCAAGCATAAACATGACGAACATGTCTTCTCCTCTACTCTTTTGTAGCATCCATCTTACCGCTGTAAACCCCAGTCTGTGTGGTATGCTTCTTCCTATTCCCACCCACATACAAGCAAATAATCATGCTCCTATTGCTTTCCTAGGTCAGAAACTACCAATTTTTGAAGGTAGTGATTTCCAGTGGTCCCTTTTGGGAGCAAGTAGAAGTACAGTTGAGTGGAGTAGTTTCTGCTGCTCTGCTGAGACTTACTACTCCTGAATTTAGGCAAACATGAAGTCAAATTACGAGAAGGATCAGCAAGCTTTTCAGAACAGTATTGCCATCAGCATGTGAGACCTGTTAGTCCATAATGGAATTGGCAGTAGCATTAGAAATATCTGATGGAAAATTACTCCGTTGTCAGCTGTAGCTTTGCTGTTCAATCAACTAGATGCATGTTTTAGAACATCAATCTCAAGTAAAATCTTCCTGGTTGGGTATTTTGTTTATGATCTCTCCTTTTTTTTCTTCTGTTATAAATTTTCAATGTTTAACTATACACAAGGCATCTTGTTTTGTGTTTTTTCGTGTAGAATTCAAATAGGTTGTAGCAAAAAGCTTTTATCATTTCCTTTATTCATTAAGCCTCAGAATAACTTGCAAACAAAAAGCCCTCTAATCCTCTGTGAAGAGGTTTATCTAAAGGTGTTACACCCATTCCACAGAAAGGTAAAATGATAAAGGATTTTAATGTCTTTAACTAATAAGCAGAAGAGTGGCTTCTGATGGATAGGTAATGATATAGCTGGAAAGGCTGTGGCCTTCTAATGATGTCAGTAATGATGTGCTACATGAATACAGATAGGATAAATGAGCAGGTTCAAATGTTGGTAACTATTGTTCTTTTCCGCATGGCTGCAAAGCACAAAGTGGCTTCCAATAATATAGCTTTTTCCCATCAACTCCTGAGAACAGGTTTTAGGCATTATTGAAATGTAAACATCAAACAGTGAAAGTAACAGAGGTGAGGAAGGCGATATTGTGTGATGCGATGGTCAGAAACATCACTGTGTATCCATATTGGTCTAATACCCTTAACCGGAAACTTTAAGCCTTTGCCACTGATACGATAATGACTTTCTATCACCCTAGAATAAATATTTCTTCTTTTATTTTCTCTTTAAAATATTAATTTGACTGTTAGACTCTGATTTCACTAAAGTAAGCCTTTAGTATTTAAACTACTGCCCAGTTGATAAAATCTGGATTAAATTTGAGAATTTATGGTTTTGTGCATAGTAGTGAATTGAGTAAGTGATACAGTGTGCCATCATAGTTGAAGGTCATGTGGAACCCAAAATCTTTGCTGTGAATAATAGAGCTTTATTTGTCTGTGATGCATCTTTAAGTAATACAGATATAATTTATTTGTATGTCATTAAGCCAAAAATTTTTTTAATTTCTTGATCTATTGTGGTTTTTACCAGTGACTTAATTGAGATTGATATATCTTGCAGATGAATAGGAGACAACCCTGGAGAGTTAGTGATTGTTTAAAATACTTATTTCTTAAAAGGTTTCCCATTAAATACTCTGTACTGGGGTATTTTCCCCCAAATGAGAGAGATTCATGAGGGATACTGACATGTATAAACTGGCCTTTTCTTGCCACTGCAGAATTACCAGGCTTTGTCTTGTCTAGGTACCTGAATGGGGTGATGAAAAATGCAGCTGCCCCTGTATTACTGGAGCTGGCCAATGAGGTAATCATCTTTACTTTTTTCTTTAATCTTCCAGTGTAAAACCTAAGGGGCATATCTATAGTGACTTTAGTGAGAAATGTAATTAACCTAAAAAAAATGGTTTCAAGGCACATTAGACATTTAAAATGGTTCCCCAGTCTGTTAGTACTTACAATAATTAGACAAAAAGCCCCATTTATTAATAAATCAGTTAATGTAATTAGTCTCTTAACTTCAAGGCGAATGTGTAAGAAACTCTGAATTTGTATTTTGCTGGAAATTTGAGACAGACCATAGGTCTTTAATGCACAAACTTACTAAAAATTCCCACATTGATTAAATGGAGTTGCATCAGTTTTACTTATATTTGATTCCTTGTTTTTAATAACAAAACCCATCTAAGATCTTTTTTTTTTTTAAATAATAGGAAGGGTTAAACCAGTTGATTTTCCTGACTCCATTTATTTCTGCTCATACGGATTAGAGGATGGCTAATGAAAACTGCTTAATATAAAGCGATTAAGCAGAATAAATTCCTCAGTATAGCCATTTCCTAGAAAAGCTGGTGTATGAAAAGTTCAGTACAGTTGCCATTAAAGTCTTGACAAATTTATTGATGCTGTTTATTAACTAGAGTATGAATCTGCCTTGGGATGCAAGGTGTATTTGCATTAAAAACTGCTATCTAAAGCACTACCTTAAAGAAGATGTAAGAAGTTTGAAAGAGTGGCAGTGAGCCTCCTAGAAAAATATTGATGAAATATCTACCCCTTAAACTCTAAAATATTTATTTACAATAATAATAACAGTACAATAGCTGATACTGCTTGGAACTGCTTATGCAACCCTCAAAGGGATAGAATGAAATGTATGCTGTTTTGTGTTGCATTTTAATAGATGTAAGAAGGAGGCAGAAAATGAGTGTTTGCATTAAAAATGATATGGCACTACGAACATTAAGTGTTGCAATAGCAGCAAGTTCTACATGTTACATTAGTAAGAAAGAATGGTTTCTCTCTCATGTACATTGCTGCAGCCAGCAAATGAGCGATTACCTATCAATTACTAGGAGGTTTTAATGGTCTGTGAAGTGTCCACAGATCCTGATCATACAGTTAGCATAGAATAAAGGATTTGTTTCATATTAGTGGTAATGTGTAGCTTCTTACAGTTTCTGGAAAAGACAAGTCTTAAAGTACTGGGAATAGGAAGTACTTTACATAAATAAGTACAATCTTATGAAGAATTTAGGTAAACAACCCGATTCATGATATATCGCACCGATATTATATGGGAACTGTCATAAAAATATTTCAGGCACAAAGTAATATATCTGTTACTAGTTCTTTGTATATTTTTTCCCACTGATTTGGAGATGATGCATATAATTTCTGACTCTAGCGAGCATATCTTTGTTTATATTATACTAATGCATTTTTGCAATTCAGATCAAAGATATCTACAGTTCAGAAATAAATAAAAATTAAATCTAAGAGAAAGGGAAGATATACAAAGAACTTACCTGCTTCTGATTTTGTAGTAGCAGGTATATGAGAAAGGCAATGCATTTTGTGACTGCTGCCTAATGCATTAGGGAAATATGGCAATAACCAGCACCAGATTACTGCTTCCAAACAATCAAGCTGCCATTTTTATATGATAGTTAATATTTAAATTACATACTCTTGCATCTGCTGACAATTGATGTAATGGTAATACTTTATGATTCAATATATATTTAATCAGTGGAAACTGTAAAAATTGATGAGAAATATATAACATAGGTGCATTACAGTGTGTAGCAGCTCTGTTAAATAGGAAAAGCTCCATATTATTATCTTTTCAGTTTGTTTTTTTGAGGGTTTGGGAAACTACTTTTAATTTTTTTTTTTTAATTTTATTTGCCAACTTCTTCATATTGTATATGTAGTGCAAAAGGACTAAAATAAATCTCATTTTTGTTAGATAGGAATAATAAAATTAGTCACTGTTCTCTTCATACAAATATTTTCAAGTGAGATTTGAAGCACTATGAATTTTACTTACATGCTAAATTCTGACATGAAGCATGATGGCCCTATTTCAAAGAAAGATGGACACATGATTAATATGAAAATTAGGGAGATGCAAGTACCTGAACTAATAAGGTAGTCCTTATTCAGGCTGGACTACCTTCAGTAATTTCACCATTTTTCATGTGTCAGCTCTGATGTGGGTTACTGGAAATAAGCAGCTCCGTGGAAAGCATTTCTCTCTACTTGGGGAATTTAAGGGCATCCAAGTACATACATATTTGGCAAAAAAAGTATGCACAAATGAAGCCACCTTTTTTTGTCTAGTTACTAAATCAAGATAAATTTTTTGTACTAATATTGAACTTGAAAACATGTCAAGAAAAATTCACTGTGACCATGTGTGAGCAAGGTTTACTGTCTCATAGTTAAAATTCTGATTCACTAAAGGAGTATTATAATGGTATCTAAAAAGCTATTGTAATTTCAGGTGGAACTACATCATTTTACATACATATAAAAACTACTGAAATGGAGGAATAGCTTTGTTAAAAAGGAAAGTATAAACTCTAAAGAAATTTTGACCAAGCCCAACGCATCTGCCACAGGTGTTGGTATTAAGGATATGTGGTATCACTTGACGGGTGCCACATATAGTAAGTATTCGCAGCAAAGGATCACCACTTCTTTTCCTTGGCGAGTAACCTTACAAAACGGATTTTGCTGTCATCTTTTACAAAGAGTGGTTCAAATGGAGAATGTACAAACATAATAACCACTAATACATGTTATCTACTTTATTTGGTTTTCCACTGGGTACTGTGGATTGCTGCTACACATTTGGTTCAAATAGTTGAGCTTAATAATTGGGAAAAGCTACTGTTTCATCTATTTTTGCTCTTTCTTTTTAATCTACAAGGAGATTACAGCGCTGACAAACGTGCGTCTAAATGTGTTTACCTCCTGAAATTCTCTTTTTATTTTTGTTGAGGTAAGGTGGACTTTGCCCCATCATTGATGGCTCGTATTGTGTTAGAAAGATTTCTACAAGAAAAAGAACAAGCCATTCGTAAGTATCTTAGTTGCTGTTTTTTCTTTTGTGTTTTTTTTAATTTCGGGATATTTTTGTTTCAACTTTTCTTCTGACTATGATGTTAAAATAATCAACGCAACATTGCAAGTGAGCTAATGAGGGTAACATTTTAAGGCTGGTATCTTCAACAGCTAATGACAGTTAAACTGTATGTAAAAAGACCACCCACAATTTAATACTAGCTAAATGAATGCTTTCTTTTTCCCTCTTAGATTTTCAGAATATCTGTTCTTTCAGTGAAATAAAGGGTATGGGACTCACACTACACTTAAATGTTTAAAGCTATGTATTTTAAAAGTCAGTAATTACTAAGAATAGGTCTTAAAAATAAGCCACTTTTTAATCTTGCAACGTTGGAGAAATATTGCTGTTAAATGCAAAAGTGCATTTAACTGATCTTAGTACAAGAAAATAAAAAAAAAGCGATGAAAGAAAAGAAAAGAATAGAGCTACAGGAGGAGGTTCAAGCCTAAATTAATTTGCCACTGAAAAAATACATTTTGTTATTTTCTCTGTGTCAACTGCATGATTAAAACCGGCTGTTAAGTGAGCTCTGGGGATGTGCTCGTAAAAGATTTATGAGTAATATTCAATGTGATATTCAAAGTGAGTCATGAATATCAGGGTAATTGCTCTCAGTGCTGGCTCTTTTACTAGGCAGGAGTTTGTCAACTGCCCCATAAATATTTGCCTAGTCTCATGTAAAAAAGACAATTTCATCTTCTGCATTTTTATTACCTAGTGTAATGTTTACCTTTGGAGCTTGACTATGGCAGAATAGGTAAAAAGCTTCAGAATATGCTTTATGTGTATAATCTTCTCTTTTGAAAGCAAAAGATAATACCTACTAAAATATCATGCAGTAGCATATGGTGGTTTTTGTCAGGGATTTTTCCTTTGGTTTTCTTTGAATCTGCACAGTTATCAGTGACTGGTGGCCCAGTTACCTTCTGAAGGTTTCATTTGAATGAATTAAGTACTTCCCCTAAAAATTCAATATCATTTCAATAGATGTAGCCTCTAAAGTAACCTGCAGTGATGCTTCATGAGCAAATCACATGATGTCAGAATGGTATGGTTTCGATTTAATCAAGAAAGAGATTAAAGTGGATGTGTGTTATTTTCAACTTCGCCGCAGCACCACCATTTGTCAAAGTCAACCTTCTGATTGCTTTGGACCTACTGCTATCCAGGTCTTGTCAAAATAGTAGTCAGCACAATCTGAAGCAGGTAGACTGGCCGATTTAGAGCAGTATCAAGCACAGTAAAGCAGAATTCATTGACTTGTGAATTATGAAGTTAATAGATTCATCATAAATTTTCTGACTATTAATTTACCTTTATAATGATGGCATACCTTCAGTACATTTTTTTTGTTTCACATCATCTTATACTGCACAGTCAAACAGAATATAATTTTGAGGTGTACTACACATCAGAATTCATACAACTACGTTGCTAGAATTAGATGTCTTGTATGGATATGCCAGGAAGGAGTACGAGTGTATTTAGAATCCTGTTTAGAAAGAGGCATTCCAAGAATGTGGTTGCTGGGGATAGGTGGCAAATTGTTTATATAGTGCTATGTTCTTGAATTACACTGTAATTAGGTATAATGAAATAAATCCTTATTTTGGAGCATTTTTAGATTTCATAGCTGCTCAACTCAGTGACAGTTTTGTTGTGATCGAGATTTTTTTTTTTGCAAAAGTAAATCCGTAACATTTGATTTGGGGGGGGCGGGATTTTGCCATATAAAACACTTCAAAATCACTATTTGTTATATGGCTGTCAGGAGGCTGACTTGTCATCTAAATGTGGAAAGATGAAAAATCTTTCATGGTGATCAAAACTGTGAAGAATCAGTTTTAGCATTGGCTTTTAGTTGTACTAAGTAAAAATATACTAGCCTTCAGAGTACATTTTATTTTTTAATTTTCATTAAAAGATACACGCTTTATGTTGTCTGTTTTATGGTGTGGGTGTGGCAGGGGAATTGCGGGGTTGTTACGATACTGTGGAGTTGCTAAACTGATCTTAGGGAAGGAGCTGTGAGATACTCTGGCTTCTATTCTGACACTTTCTTCTCCCTCACAGCAGCGACCTGGCTGGCCTTTGGCAATGAAATTCAATGCACATGGCTCCGCAGTCAAATCATCAAATTTCCCTGTGTGTATATTAGAGTTTTGTAATGTGTTTCCATTATGAAACAATGCGGGGATAATTGTCTTTGGTAGCAATTAGCTAACAGGTTTGTTCAGTGCTATTGGCAGAGGCATCCATCATCCCCTCCCTGACCACACTTTTTTGTCTACTGTGGACTATGGAGATCAATAGAATTCTGTATAGTGGAAATCACCCCAGCTTTAATGAGCTGCAAGTCTCAGTCAGTCTTGGTTTTGTATTTTTAATTTTTCCCGTTTAAAATGGAAAAAAGCTTTCCCTCTGGGAGAGGAGAGTACTGTAGCTGTACTATTACCTTCACTAATCAATTCACGGTTCTAAATTGTTTTGCTTCTACAAAAATGTATGGATGATAGAGATCAGGAGAAGCACGCAGCTTATTGCTCCAGTAGTACTCCATTCTACTGAAACATATCTTTACTAAAATACAAAGTACTACTGTATTATACAAATTACTTGTTTGGTGTTATCTTTGGCTGTCTTGTGTATAGACTTTAAACAATAGAATTACACAATGCAAAGCATTGAAAGTTCTCACATAACACAAATAGTATTTAAAAAAGACACACAACCCACTTTACAATAGTCTTTTTAGAATATAAAGAAAGTAGGTTTTGGCTGTGCTTTTAAACACAGCATGTTGTGTCAGGTGAAAGTTGTTTATAGTGCGTGCATCTTCATAAGCAAAAGTTTTTGGGAAGGAGTTTTCGTTTGTTTCTGAAGAATCAGAAACTGGAAAAGTAAATCTGTGGGCTAAGAAGTATGGGAGCAGAATTATCGCTGAGCAGGAATATTTATATTTCTCTTTGCAAGGTAAGCAACAAAATCTGTTGAAAGGAAAAATAAATCTGTTTATATAAAGACATCAGTACTAATAATGGAAGTTTTCCACCACCTGGCCTATACTCCTAGGAAAGGAGCTTGCCATTATAGAAGTTAGAGTAACTAACAGTGTAATACCTTTAGTACTCCTTTTAAAATAAATATGGAACATGAACTTAAATTGTGCCCAAGTAGTTTAAGTATAGTGGGAAATTGTATACTTCATGGCCTAGTCTTCTTCCATTCCAGAAGACAGACTTCTTGATTTGATAGCCTTTTTTTTCTTTTCCAGTAACTTTGGTCTTAGGATGGAGATTACAGTGATATCACACCAAATTCCCTATTTATGCAGTATAATGCTGTTGCAATCAAAAATACTGTTGAGTTCTCTACAGTTTTCTTACATGAAGTAATACCACTTAGAATTGACCTCTATACCACTTACTGGTTTTTTTAAGTACATCAAAGACAATTATGCTATAGTAATCACCATTCCGCATGTTGTCAAAGAAAAGTGTACGGTTTCTGGATGCGAACAAAATATATCCTTTTCGTGTTTTTACTATTTGGGTTTGAGCAGGGGAGCCTTGTGTGCCAGTTTTCAGTCTGTGACAAGCTTCAGGTTCTATTGGGATGCTGAACAATTTGAAGAATGTGCTCTCTCTATGTATCCTTTGACTTAGCCAAGTTCAAAACCTATTATTCAACTGAGCACTGTAATAATTCTTCTGCCTATTACCTTATTAAATCTCTCAGATTATTCTATCAATGTAAGGAAGATTAACTCCAAACAAAACTGTGGGGCCAAGGGGAGAGGGTGCCTTGTACAAGCATAATGAAACCCTGTAAATGTAACATCATATATTGCAGTTATCTCTGTATCCTAAAAAGAAAAATAAAATTGATGTTGTTGTTAAAATAGATAAATTCTGTACTTAGAGACTTAGAATCCTTTTACGACCTTGAATTGCAAGTGTTGAATTCGAGGATGCAAAACAGTATTCTAGATGTGGTCTAACAAATGCTAAGTAAAGGGGATAATCACTTCCCTAAATCTACTGGCTCTGCTCCTTTTAGTAAAGCCCAGGTTGCTGTTGTCCGCCTTCTCTGCCGCGATACAGTGCTGGCTCACGTTCAGCTCGTTGCCCCACCAGGGCCCCCAGGTCCTGTTTGCAGAGCTGCTCCCTAGCAAGTCCGTCCCAGCCTGCATTGTTGCTGAGCGTTCCTCCTTCCCAGGTACAGCACTCTGCATTTGCCCTTACTAAATTTCATGAGATTCCTGC